AGATGAAATTCAATAAAGACAAATGTAAAGTACTACATTTATGAAGAAAAAAAAATCAAATCAAATGGTCAACTACACAATGGGCAAAACTAGTTAAATGGTGATACAGCTGAAAAGCATCTGGGGATTACAATGGGTCACAAATTGAATATGAGGCAACACTGTTGCAGTTGCAAAAAAGAATAATATTCTGGTGTATTAATACAGGAGTTTCATATGTGAAACATGGGAAAAAATTGTTCCAGTCTACTTGGCACTGGTAAGGCCTCTGCTGGAGTACTGTGACCAGTGGTGGATAGCACACCTTAGGCTAGATGTAGACAAATGGATGAGAATCTAGAGAAGAGCAACAAAAATGATAAACGGTTTAGAAAAGCTGACATGAAAAAAGATTTAAAAAACTGAGAAAGAAAATAGGGGTGGGGAGAGAACCTGATAGCAAGTCTTCAGATATCTTAAGGGCCATTATAAAGAAGGTTGAGATCAATTGTTCCTAATGTGCACTGGAGCTATAAGTGGTAATGAGCTTCATCTGCCACAAAGAGATATAGTTTAGATATCTATTATAAATTTTGAAGAGTTTGTTTGTTTGTGGATTTGTTTGTGCAAAATAAAGTCATATTTTGGGATTACCTACAGATACCAAATTTTTCATAAACAATCATGCCACTTAAATTAGCTGAATGCACTACTTCTTATACCAAGATATGCTGGGTGAAAGGTTTAAATCATTATTTTTTGGTTTTCATCAGAGAAAGTCATGATTATTATGATTAGAGTTCATAAAAATATTTGCAAACAAATTAAAACTGAGTCGCCTATTCAACTGTCACTTTAGTGCAAAGAAAATGTTTACTGTTACAAATCACAAAATAATTCAAATTAGTTATGGAAAGAGTAATAGAAGCTATACGAGGTCCTGATTCAAATTTACTATGTATGGTAATTATTCAATAAAATGAACAATGTTTGAAGGTGAAATCCTACAAATTTAAAAGTGTTCTTTTACTTCCCTTTTGCAAGCACAGTAATAAAAAAAAATCTATTACATGTATTTAATTTCTTGAACTTTCCTAAATGTGTAATCCATACAAAATTACTTTGCATGGTCAATGACAGGCCTTACTGGCTAGTTAGAGATAATGTGTTAACTCAAAAATTAGCTAAATTCTGGAATAGGATTTCAAGGTAGATTTTGGAATCTCCATCATTGGAGGTTTTTAAGACAAACACTTATCAGGGATGGTTTACGTTTACAGGCAGTCCCCGGGTTACGTACAAGATAGGGACTGTAGGTTTGTTCTTAAGTTGAATCTGTATGTAAGTCGGAACTGGTGTCCAGATTCAGCCGCTGCTGAAACTGATCAGTTTCAACAGTGGCTGAATCTGGACGCCAGTTCTGACTTACATACAGATTCAACTTAAGAACAAACCTACAGTCCCTATCTTGTACGTAACCCGGGGACTGCCTGTAGGTCTAATTTGAAGCTCAGATTCCATAAATACCCTCATTTTAAAACCTCAGCAAATTGTTTGTTATAAAACTCAAGAACTTTAGAATTATTCAATAGATGCTCTCAACAGCTAGGTTAAGAGGGGAAATTCAACAGTTGTTAATCTTAAATCTCATCTCCCCTTCTTATAATAGATTCCGTGTCTTCTGCTCAGATCAGGATAGACCTGGGATTTTGAAATCTCTGGGACATACCAGTGTATGTAATTATAAGGTTGCAGCAATCTACTCTGTTTGATGCAAATTATGTCGCAGCTTTTTGGCTTTGAAGTTCCACCAGGCAAAGTTATTTTGCATCAGGGCATCCAAAAACAAATTTCTGCTTTTGAAAAGAACAACATTAATGGGAAACCTCCTAGAGCCCTGATCCTGGCCTGCATATGTATTCCTGCCTCTGGAAATTTCTACTACATGCATCTGACGAAGTGGGTCTTTGCCCACGAAAGCTTATGCTCCTACACTTCAGTTAGTCTATAAGGTGCCACAGGACTCCTCGTCGCTTTTGCAGATTCAGACTAACACGGCTACCCCTCTGATACAGGCAGTCCCCAAGTTACGCGGATCCGACTTACGTCGGATCTGCAGTTACGAACGGGGCACTTCCTCTCCCTGGTCTCCAGCAGACCAGGGAGAGGAAGCAGAGCGGCGGAACGCACGGCCAGCTGACAGCCCAGACGCGTCTGGGCTGTCAGCTGGCCGCGCGTTCCGCCGCTTTGCTTCCTCTCCCTGGTCTGCTGGAGACCAGGGAGAGGAAGTGCCCCGTTCGTAACTGCAGATCTAACATAAGTCGGATCCGCGTAACTCGGGGACTGCCTGTACTTGGTCCTGCAATAGTGCAAGGGGTTAGACTTGATCTCTAGAGATCCCTTGCAGCTCTACGTTTCTATGCTATGTATACTTATAAACACACATACACATACAAGCAAAAGGAGCACGCTGATTTCTATAGATGTTATATATATATTATGTTAACTGTGTACTCAAAAAAAATCCAAGTTATATCAATGATTAACAAGATCCCTAGGCCATTTTGTTCCATTTTCACATGTCCCTTATGATTCCTCTAACACAGTGGCAGGCAACTGTGGCCCAAGGGCCACATGTAGTCCATCAGGGTTCAATGTGTGGCTCACGAGACATTTTATTTACAGTTGCCCATGCATCGGGTTGCCAGATTCTGCTGGTTTCTGTGTGTGTAGGTCTTTTTTGCTACCAATATTACTGAAGTGGCACACACTTAAAGCAAAAGCATGTGAAATGAGGTACGTGCTCATTGAACAAAACAATGACAGAGAGCTGTGCAATCCCTCCAATGAAAGCACTACTATGGTTCAATTGGCACATACTGCAAATTCTGGGTATGCAAGCACAATTAGCAAAACTAACCTACACTGGGAGATCATCTTGGTTATGACAATCTTGTGGCCCACTGTGAAAAAGGAGGGCCATTCATATGGCCCACTTACTAGCCTAAGTTGCCCATCGCTGCTCTAACAGATCATAGTAGCTAAATCTCCTCAGCAAAAAAATAGCATGTGTGAGAACACAATAACCTGGTGTTCAAGTTGTCAGCTATATTTATCATCAGATTTATGAAGTTGTTTTATAGCCAGCATAAGCCTCTTGTACCTGACTGAAATCCATATCTCTGTGAATTTCTGTTTGTGTAAACTTTGGATTTAAGCCCAGAAAAAACAACAACTTAGTGACCTCTACCCAGTACCTTGTGTCTACACCATTTGTTCAACATATCCACGTATTACTTCCTATTTCAGACTTCTACTGTAAATCCTTGTGGGCAGGGAATGCACTTTTGTTATGTATCTGTACCGGAGCTACCACAGCGGGGCCTAGTCCTTGAGGAAGTGCCCCAGTACGAAAAAATTAAATTGCAAAAACTATGGCTTGTTATCATAATTATGTTGACCCCGATTTATATGGCTGTAAATAATTCAACAGTCCTATATGGTCACATATTTTAGTTGCCCTGGGAAAACAAATCCTTAGGGAAATCAGCTTCCAAAGAATACCTCCCAGAGCAAGACTGGTGGAGAGGACCTGTAGTTGCTTTGCAAGTAGAAGGCATTGATCGTTTGGAGGGATTAGGAAACACATGGGCTACATCTAGATTGCATCCCTTTCTCATAAAAGGGATACAATCTAGACGTAGCCATGCTGTAGCCTTTGGTGGATTCCCTCAGTTGGGGCAACAAGAGTAACTGCAGGGGTGTTAATATTAATCTTGGTAACTCGATCCAGGTCAGGTGACTAGGACAAGGAAATGAAGTCCAACCTCTCCCACCTATCTCATATCATCACCACAAAACAGATTATTGTTATGTTATTTTCAGAGTTCGCTAGCTGATAGAGAAGAACCTAAAGGGAAAGGAGAGCCTGGATAACTGTAGGTGTCCATGAATTTGTTAGCAGCTTTTCACTCACTATGTCATGACTGTATTACTCCATAGTGTCAATTCAACTGTGATGCACCATTATCAATGAAACATGTGTGAACATATTTTCCAGTCATATCTCAGCATCACAGTTGTCCCTGTCAACTGTTGTTGTGGAGTGGAGAGAAATTGTTCACTTATATTTTCTATTGCTATTTGCAGGATGGATATTTTTGTCTATTTTATATCTGATTCTGATCTCAAATCAGGACTAATTCCACTTAAGTTACACTGCTGTAAACCTGTTGTTAATGTGAGCAGTATCAGACCCATGATGTTAACAGCTAACGAAATGCAATAGGGACTTACTTTAATATAAAGATAAATGACACTTTAACCAATATTGTTGTATTATTTTCTTGTGCTTCCCTGCCTGCATCCTCTGATTGTCTCTTGTCTTATGATAATCTCATTGGGGCAGTCTTTGACTAATAGGTCTTGCTGTCTCTTGTATAATTTCCATGTCCCTTTTAATGGATGCAAAAAAGTCTCTGCGCAGAGACAATGTTCAGGATCTATCACCCTACGTACTGCCTGTATTGCTATATGGGTCAGAAATCAAAACCTTATGACAAGCTGACTTGGAACAGCATGAAACAACACAATCTCACAAAGATCTGGCCTTTCTTCACTTGCTCATTAAATTGAAAAATGGCACGTACTCTTTGGTCATGTTGCTAGAATGGATAAAACCACACCAGAGTACTGTCAAACTCTCCCTTGACATGTGAAGAGGTGTGCACCGGACTCTACCTGGTGCCACTCATGGGCCACCCTAGAGATTCATGGACTCACAGGATTAGGCTAGATCTGGGAATTTCATTATACTGTGCCTGGTGTAGTGCCACCAACCATAGTCACTTTGGCTGGTGCAATAGTATTTAGCAGACTATGTGTGTTTGATGATGTTTGATTTGGGGCAAGAACCAATTTTTTTTGTCTGTGTTTGTACAGCACCTAGCACAATGGGGTCCTGTTCCATTGATATGCTCCTAGGTACTACTGCAAAAATTTAATAATAGTAAACTTAATTGTGCAATGTCTTCACATTTTAATTTAATTTTTCTGAAGAACTGCAGTCACTCTCCATTTAAATTCATTGTTAATTTGATATAAGCAGGATATACATTGCACAAACTCATTTAAGAGACTCATGTATTATCCAGTTCTTAGGAATCAATGGGAGTATGTATTCTTCATTCCTGATTTTCTCCTGGCATAGCTTAAAAGGTCTGTAGTCTGCTTCTCGCCATAAAACTCTCACTTTCTGTTTTCTTTTCACAATACCTTTATAGAATTTCCACTGCAGATCCTTTAGATTAAAGAAGTTCACATATTTTGATTCTGAAAGCAGGAAAAAAATTGCATATAAGATAAGCATTATATGTAATAACGTCTTTCATCAAAATGAGCAAGAAGTATCTGTAATACTGCATTGTATTGACTTTAGTAAGTGCATCAGGTGCTTAGTATCTCTGAATTTCAAGTCACTTATTTAGATGCACAAATATGCAGTTAGGTATCTAATTTTAGGCATCCAATTGATAAAATAGGCCCTCTCTTGCGTCTATTGAAATCAATAGAAAAACTGCTGATTTAAATGAAGCAGGAAAAGCTTCACAACTCACATGGGGTAATCACTACTGTTTGGCACATTTGCCAATGCTAATCTTAGTATACTGGGTAAAGGATGAATAGGCATGGACACTTAACTACTGCATTCTCCTACACCCTATTGGTGGTTCCATCACACCATAGTTAAGACATATTGATGGAGCAGAGAGGAAAAGCTAGCACTGCCTACATTGCATCTGCTCGCACTGAAATCAGTGCCAAGACTTCCACTGAATTCAGCGGGAGAAATATCAGGCTCAAAAGAAAGAATCATCTCTGTGCTGCCCAAACTATGGATACTGGACCCATGTTAAAATCTCTCCCTGTGTCTCTTAGGATTACATTTATTTCTGGATATTCTTAGCACATGTCTTTATAGAACACTTAAATGTTAGAACTAAATAAACCTAGCTCACTTACTATATGTTGGTTCCCTATGAATGATATATTTTCTAGTCCTCTGAGCAGTTACATATCCCAAATGCCAAGGCTCCCACCATCTGGAAACTGTTTCAGAGTGCAATATTGAAGTCTCACCCTCAAGAACGGTCTCCTGATATTCAGCCTACTTTGCCCCTTTGTTAGTTTAATTCTATTGTTTCTAGTTAACCTCTCTTGTAATAGCCTCAATCATTCATAAATAATTATAAATACAGATTGCCAACCTTCAGGCGTCTGTAATTTGGAATTGGGATGATCTCGAGGTAAAGGCTTGATTGCTTTCTTTTTCCAGAGTCTCAGAGTAATGTACAGTATCCTGCTCAGTATCTCTGCTTTGCAACATTTGGAATGGATCGAAGAAATTGACAAAGGAAGACAATTTTTTATTAAAACCACATATGGAAGCATATGCACTGGCAGTGGACCACTACTGTCTGCGTTTTTGTTTCCTTCTATAGCAGAATTTGTTGTCTTCAATTTAGATAGACACTTAACACTCATCGATACACAACTATTTTTGCTTTTCATTGTCCTTTGAGAATCAGCATCCGTCTTTGCCACAGCATCTTTTGACCAATTCTGTAACACAGTAGTGGGCTCAGGAGGTAATGTGCTTTGCTTGTTAAATACTGCAGTCTTACTGGATTTTATTACTGACCGTAGTGTATGGAAGAGAGAGACTTGTGTTCCCTTCAAAAGCAATTGATGCTTCTGGTGTTCATTTTCAACATTTGCAAGAGATGACAACAATTCTGATACCTGCCACAAAATACAGAATATGTCTATACTGGATTTTGATAGCCCAATCCCACAATAAAAATAGTGTTGATGACATAAACATTTTCCTTTTTAATTATAGAGGTACCAGTCAGAGATGAGGATAATAATGTAGTAGGCATTGTCTCCTGCCCACATATTTAGTAGAAAAAGATAGACCCTGCTTCAAATATCTTATAACCTAAGCATATGATGAGAAGCAACTGGAGGCAAGGAATGAAGACAACAGTTGGAATAATCATATATGGTATAATAAGAAATACTTGTGATACCCATAGCATTGATAATATTCCCATTGTCTTTATGCTATTCTGTAAAGATGCATATACAGTAAAACTCCGATAGTCCGGCATCCAACTGTTCGGCACTCCCGATACTGGCATCAAAATGCCAAGCACTCCTGACCAGCTGATTAAAAAGCCTTCCGCTCAGCACACATGCTGGCTGTAACCAGAGGGAGCATAAGGTTGGGGGAGGGAGTGGGATCATGTTACAATATGGAGAAGAGCGTTTTGCTTCAGCGAAGGGGAAAGGGGAGGATAGGGGAGGAGGAGGAGGATCAGGTTATAGCAGGGAGAAGATGTGAAGAGGGAAGAGGAAAGGGGAGGGGAGGGAGAGGGAGATTGTGTCCTGGCCAGCTGTTAAGCCGTGCAGCTGTACTGGACCTCCTGATTCTTCGGCAAATCTGATAATCCGGCACCACCTAGGTCCAAAAGGTGGTGGATTATCGGAAGTCTACTGTATAGCTTTTCATATTGCACAAGGTGTAATACCTGCATTCATGTCCATAATGGAACATAGATCTCATTGCTGACCTCATTAAAGAAACTATCCCAGTTGGTTTTCAAATCTAATTTGTTTGGAGCAATATATACTATTACATACAGAAAATCACCAGAGAGCTAGGCTCTTAGTCATACACTGCCCTGAAGAGGCATTAAATCTTAAGAATGTACTATTCTCACCAGTCACATACAGTAAGTTCGAGGGCAGTTTTTCTTCTGGCTTCAAATATTTTTGCATTATACACCATTTTACATTGGACAAAAACAGAGAAACTTTGAGACCTTCAGATATATATTTTTATATGTAACTTGATTATACAACAGCCTCAATGAGAATCTCTCTATAAATACTGCAGATAGAGTGAACCTACTGAGGTGCTAATGAAACATGACTGTTTATTCATATGACTTACTGGTTCGGTACAACTTAATTTGCAAAGCATTGTGTGGAGAGGTGCATTACACTCAGATTTTACTGATTAATCGTCATTATGGGGGAGATTGTCAATGGTGAAGGGTTAAGCACTTTATTCCCACTAGATTTCAAAGAGAGTTGAATACACGGCTTCCCAAAAGTACTTTTGAATATATGCACCTAACCTGATTAAATAACCTACTTGTATGTTTGCTTTTTCAATTCATCAGCTATGTTACTGAACAAATCATTATTAGTTGAATTACTGTAGCATAGATGGAAAAATAACATTTCAGCACCATGATAATAGACAGTGTAATGAATAAAGGCCAAATGCTCTGACAGAATAATTGCCATTTAAAAAGTCAACATCTGAAAATTTATACTACACATTTAGCCAGTTAATTTTTTTCTCAGTACATGGGAAAACAGTAGCTGTTCAAATACTACACTAGACTCATACACACTAAACTTTTAATGGCAACAACTGTGTTTTTAGTAAGGATGTTAAGAAGTGGGTCACTGACTAATCGCGGACTCGATACAATTTGTATCAAGTACACGATTAATTCATAAGGGGCCTTGCTGCGGCTCTGCAGTTTAAATGTAATAGGAGCTGGATGCATAGGCAGTCCGGCTCCTACTACATTTAAACAACAGAACTGCAGCAGGGGTGACTCAGCAGTCCTGGCTTGCACCAGGTCTCAGACCACTGCCTTTTAAATGTAATAAGAGCCCTGTGGCTCCCCAGGAGGGAGCTGGAACCTCTTGCAGACAGGCTGCTGCTGGGGGAGCCCCTGGCCCCGGCCC